CCCGGAGCATGCTTCCCCGCCTTCCCCTCCTCTTCCGGTCTCGCTCCCCGTGCTGCGCAAGCGCTCTGCTCTTCTCCCCCGCCGAGGACGCCGACGGACAGCTCGCGCTCGACCCCGAGTCGGAGAAAGGGTCCTTGGGCTCCTCCCTGTCGCTGTCGCTCGACTTTCTGTCCTCGCTGCTGCCCCCTCCCCCCGCCTCCTGCCCCAGCGCCTCCTGCAGATCCGTCATGGATGCCCTCGGCGGCTGCCCCTGCGAGCCGTGGTGCTCCGACCGGCCCGCGTCCGACGACGTCGTCGACTTGGACGGGAAGCTTGACGTCGGGCTGCTCGAGCCCTCCGGCGAGCCGTCGGGCCCGGAGCCCTTGGAGATGGACGCGTCGCTGCTCTCCTCTGGCGACTCCTTACCCGAGGACTTGTCGCACTTGGTGCTGGCCTCGGAGCCCGAGCACAGCTCGTGCGCGGAGCTGCTGCCCTGGCTAGCCTGGGACTTGATGTCAGCCATGGAGGGAGCTGCGGCGCCGGAGGACAAGCTGCTGCTGCATCCACCATGGTCGTCGTCGCGCTTGCGCTTCTTGCTGTCGGGCTGCATGGGATGGTCCTTGCCCTCCTCCTTGGCCGCCATGAGCGACCTCTCCTCCTCGGTCCAGAGAGGCCTGGTGGCATCGGCCCAGGTCCGGCGGCTCCAGATGTCGCGGACGGTCTTGGGGCTAGTGCCGTACTTGCTGGCAACGAAGGCGCTCTCGACGGTTGCATGCCCGGCCTTGAGGCATCGCTCGGCGTAGATCTCGGCCGCGAGCCTTGAGGACAGGGTTCTCTTCTTTGCTTGAGGCGCGTCGGATCGAGCTGACGTTGCCGACGTTGCCGATGAGGCTGACGAGAGGTCAAGCAGGTGGTTGAACATGGTATGGTGGTTGTGCGAGTTCATCGCTGAGACAAGGAGACGCGATCGTGGTGGCGCTAGAGAGGAGGAGCGTGCATAGACTGAGGGCTGCTGCGGGGATGCTAGACAAGGAGGATGGAAGAGAACAGATGCATGATGGGGGGTATCTCTTTGAGGAGATCGCGCTGGAGCAGGGCGGGTGGGGTTATGGGCGGATGCCTTTTTCGTGGGAGGGAGGAGGGCACGGACGGGGAGGGGGTACGGGTGGGGGTACTTGATGGAAATCAAGGGGTCCATGAAGCTTGAGGCGACTGGCAGCGAGAAGCAGGGGGGGTAGGGGATAGTGCAGCGAGCATAGAGGCTCAGTTGTAGAATGAGAGAGGTGTAGGGGTACGGAACCTAGAAGAGTAGGGATATGATATAGAGGATCGAGAGAGATTTTTGAAAAGGAGAGGTTTTGATAAGTTCAACAAGAGTTTTAGCTCTCCTATAAATTACCCCGGCGTGAACCGATCATAAATAGCGTCATTAAGCTCGAGGCGACTGGCAGCGGGAAGCAGGGGGGTAGGGGGATAGTGCAGCGAGCATAGAGGCTCAGTTGTAGAATGAGAGAGGTGTAGGGGTACAGAAGCTATCGAGATGAGGATATAATTTAGAGGATCGAGAATGGATACCTGTCTTTTATAAATTACCCCGTCCGGATGACGTTGATGCGATGTCCGAAAGGACTCTTTTTCGTAAGGGCCAACCAGTACACACCCCACCCCCTCTGGGAGATCCTAAATCTTACCCCTAAGGCTTCTCACGCCTTGTACGGGCAGGGTGCTGGATTGAGTAGGTGGGGTCTCGATCTCAAGCCCTATAGCCGGTACCTTGCCCCGTCCGAACGGAGTACCGCATCGAACTACTCCCGCACCAGCTTACGCTGAAGGCAACTCATTCATGCACCCTAAAGCCGGATAGGGAATGCAGGCGAACCACTCCGATATGCACACCGACATGCCGACCTCTTCCGAAGAGCATGCGTCGTTACATCCACCACAAGATACACACCTCGGCAATGCTGATCCGCCTGCGCATGAAGATCAGCAGAGCGACCTCCCCTCGCATGAGACCATGCTGTCCGCGAAGCTCGCGGCCGAGATCTACGCCGAGCGATGCCTCAGGCCGGGGCATGCAACCGTCGAGAGCGCCTTCGTTGCCAGCAAGTACGGCACTAGCCCCAAGACCGTCCGCGACATCTGGAGCCGCCGGACCTGGCCCGATGCCACCAGGCCTCTCTGGACCGAGGAGGAGAGGTCGCTCATGGCGGGCCAAGGAGGAGGGCAAGGACCATCCCATGC